TAGAAGTTTATCGTTTGGACATTTTTGATCTTTTTTGAATTTCTACAAGATCATAACATCAGAAAAATGACAAAAAATATTAAAAAAAATAAAATTCCAAATTTGAATGCAGTTTTTTAGAGAATGGCGCCAGAAACATTTAGATGTATTCCGCTTCAAAATCCGATTAAGATTAGTTGAGTTATGGACTTTAGAAGTTCAGCGTTGGGACATTTTTGATCTTTTTTGAATTTCTACAAGATCATAACATCAGAAAAATGACAAAAAATATTAAAAAAAATAAAATTCCAAATTTGAATGCAGTTTTTTAGAGAATGGCGCCAGAAACATTTAAAGGTATTCCGCTTCAAAATCCGATTAAGATTAGTTGAGTTATGGACTTTAGAAGTTCAGCGTTGGGACATTTTTGATCTTTTTTGAATTTCTACAAGATCATAACATCAGAAAAATGACAAAAAATATTAAAAAAATAAAATTCCAAATTTGAATGCAGATTTTTAGAGAATGGCACCAGAAACATTTAGAGGTATTCCGCTTCAAAATCCGATCAAGATTAGTTGAGTTATGGACTTTAGAAGTTCAGCGTTGGGACATTTTTGATCTATTTTGAATTTCTACAAGATCATAACATCAGAAAAATGACAAAAAATATTAAAAAAAATAAAATTCCAAATTTGAATGCAGATTTTTAGAGAATGGCACCAGAAACATTTAGATGTATTCCGCTTCAAAATCCGATTAAGATTAGTTGAGTTATGGAGTTTAGAAGTTCAGCGTTGGGACATTTTTGATCTTTTTTGAATTTCTACAAGATCATAACATCAGAAAAATGACAAAAAATATTAAAAAAAATAAAATTCCAAATTTGAATGCAGTTTTTTAGAGAATGGCGCCAGAAACATTTAAAGGTATTCCGCTTCAAAATCCGATTAAAATTAGTTGAGTTATGGACTTTAGAAGTTCAGCGTTGGGACATTTTTGATCTATTTTGAATTTCTACAAGATCATAACATCAGAAAAATGACAAAAAATATTAAAAAAAATAAAATTCCAAATTTGAATGCAGATTTTTAGAGAATGGCACCAGAAACATTTAGATGTATTCCGCTTCAAAATCCGATTAAGATTAGTTGAGTTATGGAGTTTAGAAGTTCAGCGTTGGGACATTTTTGATCTTTTTTGAATTTCTACAAGATCATAACATCAGAAAAATGACAAAAAATATTAAAAAAAATAAAATTCCAAATTTGAATGCAGTTTTTTAGAGAATGGCGCCAGAAACATTTAAAGGTATTCCGCTTCAAAATCCGATTAAAATTAGTTGAGTTATGGACTTTAGAAGTTCAGCGTTGGGACATTTTTGATCTTTTTTGAATTTCTACAAGATCATAACATCAGAAAAAATGACAAAAAATATTAAAAAAAATAAAATTCCAAATTTGAATGCAGTTTTTTAGAGAATGGCGCCAGAAACATTTAAAGGTATTCCGCTTCAAAATCCGATTAAGATTAGTTGAGTTATGGACTTTAGAAGTTCAGCGTTGGGACATTTTTGATCTTTTTTGAATTTCTACAAGATCATAACATCAGAAAAATGACAAAAAATATTAAAAAAATAAAATTCCAAATTTGAATGCAGATTTTTAGAGAATGGCACCAGAAACATTTAGAGGTATTCCGCTTCAAAATCCGATCAAGATTAGTTGAGTTATGGACTTTAGAAGTTCAGCGTTGGGACATTTTTGATCTATTTTGAATTTCTACAAGATCATAACATCAGAAAAATGACAAAAAATATTAAAAAAAATAAAATTCCAAATTTGAATGCAGATTTTTAGAGAATGGCACCAGAAACATTTAGATGTATTCCGCTTCAAAATCCGATTAAGATTAGTTGAGTTATGGAGTTTAGAAGTTCAGCGTTGGGACATTTTTGATCTTTTTTGAATTTCTACAAGATCATAACATCAGAAAAATGACAAAAAATATTAAAAAAAATAAAATTCCAAATTTGAATGCAGTTTTTTAGAGAATGGCGCCAGAAACATTTAAAGGTATTCCGCTTCAAAATCCGATTAAAATTAGTTGAGTTATGGACTTTAGAAGTTCAGCGTTGGGACATTTTTGATCTTTTTTGAATTTCTACAAGATCATAACATCAGAAAAAATGACAAAAAATATTAAAAAAAATAAAATTCCAAATTTGAATGCAGTTTTTTAGAGAATGGCGCCAGAAACATTTAAAGGTATTCCGCTTCAAAATCCGATTAAGATTAGTTGAGTTATGGACTTTAGAAGTTCAGCGTTGGGACATTTTTGATCTTTTTTGAATTTCTACAAGATCATAACATCAGAAAAATGACAAAAAATATTAAAAAAAATAAAATTCCAAATTTGAATGCAGATTTTTAGAGAATGGCACCAGAAACATTTAGAGGTATTCCGCTTCAAAATCCGATTAAGATAAGTTGAGTTATGGGCCTTATAAGTTCATCGTTGGGACATTTTTGAATTTTTTTGGTTTTCTACAACATTATACATTAGAAAAATTAAAAAAAAATAAATTTCTAACGACGTAGAGTAAATATATTTTATATATCACAATATTAACTCCTTACCATACATAGATATTGTACATATATAATTATTGATTTGGAATAAATCTATATTCCTAAGGCACCTAACAACAAGAAAAGTTTCATGACAGTTCCAAAGTGTTCCCGCGGTTGGCGAAAGTTTAGGATATGAAACAATTGCTCTTGCGCAAATAAAAAACTATTAACATTTCGTTCTTTTCATTTATGATACTAAACAGATTTCGGCATGGAAAGGATCTCAGGTGAGTCGGCGCGTCACTTACTCAAGGAACACATTTTAATATTCGCATTTCCGCTTGCAGAGCTCCCTCTCTAAAGCCTTTCGGTTTAACAGCAAACCACATCGCACCGGGGACCGCAGCTCCTTTGGGAACTCCACCTCCCCAACGCCTTCGTACAGCAGCAGCGAGGGTGGCGGAGGAATATACGCAACCATAGGCCACCAGTATCCGAATCCGCACACCAATCTCCAGCAGCAGCACTACCATCACTTCCTGCCGCCGCCGACGACGGCCCCACCGCCGATTCCCTCGGCTGGGGGCATCTATAGTCATGGTCCGCCGCCTGGTCATCGGGTGAGCGCTCCGCCAGTGGGAGGGGTACTAGATGGGGTGTCCACCGACCCCCAAATGCTCTACGAGCAGAGTCGACGGCGCGTGAAGAGCATCAGCGATATTGGGGCCTCGACGAGTGCGGGCAGCGTGGGTGCCTGCAGTCTGGGGGGCATATCGGCCTCCTCGGAGTCCCCGGAATAAGAGTGAAAAGCTAGCTAGATAGGATTACAACTACCACTACCAAAGATACTCAGCTGTACTCCCGCATGAAAATCCCTTCCAGCCCATATCCCATTACCCCTTCCAGCTGCATTTGAGCTTAGAATCTACAAGCAAACTCAATTATATTCAAGTCAGTGTCAGACCCACCTACAAGATACAAGCATTCCGCAGATACACCCACATATGCGTCAAGTAATACATGATAAGCGAGTAATCATTTGATCAAATCAGATAGAACTTCGAACTATATGCTAAACGTAATTAACGACATACTCGTAATATATTGTAGACTAAGCCCACTCGCAGGCAAGAGAAGTAAGGATCGAATCGAATCGAATCGATTCGAATCGAATCAAACACTCCACCCCAACTCAAGCAAACTGCATTAGTCTAATCAAGCGCATATATGTAATTCTAATTGTAATTGTAACTGTAAAGATAGCTCTAAACCGATTTAAATGTGAGAGGCAGATACTCACTGAATTAAAAGCTGATGCAGGCAGCTGCAGATGCGATTGCAATTTAGATAAATTGAAATTATTTTGTAACCGAAACTATCGTAGCTAAGCAAATGGAAACGGAACCTATTGAATTAAATTTGATAAGCCGCAAACGGGCGGCACTTTGTAAATTATGGCAAGCCCTAAGCAACGTTCAATATCGCATGGTAATGGTAAAGTCCGAAACCGAATCAAATATATGGTAAATACAAGCGCACTACCCGAAAAACCCCTCGCACAACCAAAGAAAGTCAGTCAGCCTGCTTTATCCGCCAATCAATCAGTATCGAAGAATCCCCGAAAGCGTCAGGGTATCATTAAGCTGACCAATTTAACTGTAGACCTATGGCAAAGAAAACTATCGAATAAACCCATGATCAAAACTCTGTTGTAAACGAGGGAGTCTTTATTGTGCAGGGAAGATAGCGCTCGCTAGATGAGCAGGATCTCAACATATTGCATTTGCTCGACTCCAAAACACTTCACCTTCACCGAGAGTCGCCGTGCCTCCTGTGTCCTTTGTGGTTCGGTGCATCTTCGGGGAGATTGCGCGGCGTGCCCCATCTCCTCCAGCCGCTCGGATTGCTAGCGTCGATCGCTGTCGTTATCGTTCCGTGGACGTCGCGTTGTGTGGGGACGACCCTTGGGCTCCGGATTGGGTTCCGCCACGGTCAATGTGCCCAGACTGCCGATGAGTCCGAGGATCCCAAGCACCAGGAACAAACTAAGCCACTTCATCTCGCGATCGCGTTGTCGAGTTGTCACCAGTTTAAAGCAAACTGCTGACCGATCCGCCGGGTGTGGAGCGTTTTATGGTCTGGCGCCCAGGAGATCCGCGACGATCTGCATGCTAATGAGGGAACAGCCGTCAACATCGTTTACCATTGCCAGTAGTTTATGTTCGCAGATCGCCAGATATCGCGGCAAATTGAGTTGTAAATCTAGCGCGAAAAATGGGCGGACATACATTTAGGTAATTAGCTCCAGCGAACAATTGTTCCCATTGCAATTGAATCGCAGTCACATCTTGCTGTGGGAGCTGTAATTAAAAATGAATTGGTTTCCGAACGATAGCGAATCGAATTTATTTCTATCTTTTTGGAGTAAGTATTTGACAATTTTCGAGCTTCCCTCCTTGTTGTTGTATACATTAACATAGGTGCAATGCCGAGGGCAAATTGTTGCCATTTTAAGATCTAGGACAACCATATCGAATGTGATTGGTACAAATCGATTACTTGGTAGAGTAACAAAACAAAGCGAGTCTTTAACGAAAGCAAACAGTTGAATACACGGACAAAATGACTCCTAGAAACTATGTGCACGACGACCTCTTAAGGTTGGTAGTTAGAATATAAAAAAGCCGAGCACTTATCAAAAATGCCCTAACAAAGGCCACTAATCTGGCGAAGTAGCTGCTAACACTATAATTTACAAATATCACAATGAGCTGGCTTTCCTGGGGAGGTGCAGTCAGAATCTCCATCTATCTGCGATGACCGGCGGACTCAGGCTCAGGTTTTGCTGGAAAACTTGGCAGAGCTCATTCATCTCCCGCTCCCTTTGCAACTCCTCGCGCACTTGATGCCACATAGACTCAAATCCGCTGTCATAGGATGCCATCGAGGCATCGCCCTCGCAGGAGCTGTCTTCAAAAATAAAGGAGTACTCCATCTGGTAGTCGCACATTTTCGGTTCTTATACTTGTAGTTCGAAGCTGCAAGACAGAAGAATTCAAATTGTTAGCTATCGATTGGAAACGCTGTGTTTTGGCGCCAGCTATCGGATCGGCTTCTTATCAAACGGGCAACCAGACCAGCTGATTTCATTGATCTACACAATGTCGCGGAAGAACGTCTTGAGTTTGATCAACACGATCGTGGCCAACTCGTAAGTAAAATGTACATTTCGCTACTGATTTCAATAAAAGCTGAATCTAGTATGGTCTTATAGTTGCAAGTGCCCCGCCCACTCGCAGAACTATGGCTCAGCAGCTCCCACCGCCTCCCAAACGGGTCGCATGGAATACGCCTTCGAGGTAAGTGGCGAAGCCTTGGACTTTGGAACACCTGCAGATAGTAGATTCTCATCTCCCAATAGTCTTAGGCAGCCTAGCAAAATTATATATTATTATTCGATCTTGTGAACACCTTTAACTTTAGTTTTTATAACAGCCATCAATTTTTGGTACAGAAATAACTTGGTTTCCAATTTTGCCAAATGTATTCGGCACAGATGTCAGCCTCGACTGTTCGCTTTGGACCCGGAGTAAGTGCCGAAGTGGGAGCTGATCTTCGCAACTTGGGAGCTCGGAAGGTGTGTTTGGTCACGGATAAGAATGTGGTGCAGTTGCCCTCCGTGAAAGCGGCCTTGGACTCACTGGCCCGCAATGGAATCAACTACGAAGTTTATGATGAAACGCGGGTGGAGCCCACGGATGGGAGCATGTGGCATGCCGTGGAGTTTGCGCGCGGCAAGGAGTTCGACGCATTTCTGGCCATCGGAGGAGGATCAGCCATGGATACAGCCAAGGCAGCCAATCTGTTTAGCAGTGATCCGGATGCACAGTTTTTGGATTATGTCAACTGTCCAATTGGCAAGGGCAAGGAGGTGAGGTCTAAGTTTCTGAATAAGTGCGCTCAACACCACTGGAATTCCATTTAGATATCGGTGAAACTAAAGCCGCTGATTGCGATGCCCACCACTTCGGGAACTGGTTCTGAGACCACTGGTGTGGCTATATTTGATTACAAGAAGTTGCATGCCAAGACCGGGATCTCCAGCAAGTTCCTCAAACCTACTTTGGGTAAAAACTAAACTCTTAAACGATTTATTCACCTAACTTCACACTTCCAATCCCTAGCTGTGATTGATCCGCTGCACACCCTATCCCAGCCGGAACGCGTGATGGCCTTCGCTGGCTTTGATGTGTTCTGTCATGCCCTGGAGAGTTTTACGGCGGTGGATTACAGGGAACGCGGCCCGGCACCCAGTGATCCCAGTCTGAGACCCACCTATCAGGGCAGCAACCCAGTGTCGGATGTGTGGGCGCGATTCGCCTTGGAGACGATCAGAAGAAACTTTGTGAACGCCATTTACCAGCCCGATAACCTGCAAGCCCGATCCCAGATGCACCTGGCTTCCACGATGGCTGGCGTGGGATTTGGTAATGCCGGGGTGCATCTGTGCCATGGACTTTCCTACCCTATTTCTGGGAATGTGAGGGAGTACAAGCCGAAGGGCTACGCCGCGAGCCACGCAATCATTCCCCACGGCCTATCCGTGGTGATCAGTGCTCCGGCGGTCTTTGAGTTCACTGCTCCAGCTTGCCCGGATCGGCATTTGGAGGCTGCCCAGCTTCTGGGCGCAGATGTGCAAGGTGTTCGAAAGGCAGACGCCGGTCGCCTTTTGGCGGACACTGTACGCGGTTTTATGCAACGCGCGGGCATAGAAAATGGCCTCCGAGAGCTGGGATTCTCCGGCAGCGATATACCCGCTTTGGTGGAGGGAACCCTGCCCCAGGAAAGGATCACTAAGCTGGCGCCCAGGGCGCAGACGGAGGAAAACCTGTCCCAACTCTTCGAGAACTCCATGGAGGTCTATTAATTTGGGGGCAAAACTTACCCACGCTCAACTTGTTCTCTTGAAGAAAAAAGGTTAAACTAACGGATCCTCGTTAAAGATCTGCCCATACTTGAGCTTTCAAAATTCCAAAAAATTCCAAGAAAGCACATACATACATATGTACATATACATAGCTTAGAGTGGTCCACTTTACTTTCGGGTGGACTTATGTGTAACAAAAAAATACCATTAAAAACCATATACAGACTCACTGGAAATTTGATGCCCTGCCAGATTTTTGTTTACTCTTTGTTATTTGGCGCTATGAATCTTATGTATATTCAGCATTAATTTGTGGCCTCTTTTGAGGTCTGGTAACCGTTTGAGAGTCCTCTACTCATGGAGCCTCAGTTCGTTTTTCTAAGCTGCAGAAAAAAGACCAACGCTGGGGTCAAAAATACTATGATATAAGATATTATTTATGGTACCTAAAACCAATAAAAGGTATAAATCTAACAAATAGATGCTCCAAACATAGCGTTAAGTATTTGTTATTATAATATATTGTAGATCTTAACATGTTCCACTCCAAGTATGAGTACTCCTTCATGTTCGAGTGCTCCGGATGCGGAAGTAAATTCCTAGGAATGCCCTACGACGGCGAGTTCGAGACAATGTGGCAACAGATCGGTGAAGAACTCCGTTCCAGACATAATCGGTTCCTGGACATGCCGTTCGATAGTGGATTTGAACGGATGTGGCGGCAGGTCAGAGAGGAACTGCAACGGGAACGGGAAGATAACCAATTGGCACTCTGTTTCCAGCGGAATTTGACCCTCTACGGAAAGGAGGAAGGGGAAGTCGGCCAACTTGAGACTTTTATTGAACGCAGATAAAACATATTCAATTTTATTGAAAGGCATGTTATTGTTTAAAATACGTATGTATGTCTATTAAGTATGCATTGTCAAGATTACGATCGGTTTGGTTAAAATAATTTATTGTTCTCGGAATTGGTTTCAATGTCGAATAGGTCAAGCAGTGACTTGCCATCGATTGGAAAAAGATAATAAAAAAGCCTTAAAATAGTTTACGCATTAATTATTTCCCTCATCTCTTGATCAGAATAAAAATCAGACGTCATTCTAGGGAGTCTCCTAACCGTTTGCTACGCAGACCCGCATCTGAAACTCTTACTACTTTCTGTTCATGGCTCCTCGTTTCTTGTTCCTGACTTGACACTCAGTTTAGAAACCCTAATCTGTTTAAGTAATTTTCGATCGGTTTGAATTTTTGCAAAATGGCACTAAATCTTCAAGTTGTTCCCGAAATTCTCAGAAGACCGCTGTGGATAAGTTGGATCTGGATTGCTGGGCAGAGGTTCGATAAATTGCAAGTCCGTTGCTTTCGAAACGGTTGAACATCAAACGCGTTCTCTGAAAACCTGTTGCCAAGGACCTTTGACTGGTCTTAACAGGATTAGGTGGTACGTGCTATTTCTAGGATAAAGGATTTTGTTAATGATTTATTCTCTCTCTCTCTCTTGTTCTCTTATTTGGATGCAAGTATTTCTCAGTTGTTGCTTTGTTTCTTCGCAATTTCGCTAATACTTTTAACTGCCAGCTACTGCTCCTCCTCCTGTTTCTTACATTCTTGTGCTTGTGTGTAGTCAATTGTCTGATGTGATTTTTTCAACTATCAATATACTTATAAATTAGAAAAACAGCGCAACTCGTTCGACTTCCGCGGCTATCGGCCCGGAACTGCTGATTCTAGGTGGACTTAGACCTGATTGATGGGCGCGTATCGGTGCACCTTCGGTTGCTTCAGATGCTTGGGCTCCTTCTGCACCTTGCTGGTGGGCTTGACGATGTCCTCGCTCAACTTCTGGTATACGAACGAGTTCTTTGAGGCCAGCAGCGCCATGCGGTAGCGCTCGCCGCGCTTGCGCAGCACCACGTAGATCACTCGGGCGGTGGAAAGCACGATCATCAGCAGGCAGAAGGACACGACGATCAGTGGGACCACCAGGTCGTAGGAGAGTTCGCCGTGGAAGATCACCTTCTCGGTGAACTCATCCGACTCCTCGCTTGCGTTGTCGAAGCCCAGTTTCTCTGAAAAGGTATATGCTACGATTGTAATATGTTCTATAAGCGAATAATTGGCTGACACTTACCAAGCAGGAACTTATCACGAGTCTCCTGAGAAATGTCCACTTCCTCAGCCTGGATACCATCGTTCTTTAGTACTACCTTCAGCTCCGAGGTCTTTTCAGAATCGATCTTGGCGTTGGCATTCTTCTTGGCCTCCTCGAAGCGATCATCATCGTTGCTGTCATCATCATCGTCCTCATCGTCGTCATCATCCTCCTCACTGTCATAGTCACTGCTGTCCTCCTCCTTATCCTCGCCGCCATTGTTCAGGTTTTCCTCGTCAGCATCTTCCTCAGGCTTCGCGGTTTCCGTGCTGACCGATCCCTTCATGATCTTCTGCATGCTGCTCAGTCTGCTCTTGTCCAGCACACTCTTGTCCAAGACACTCAGCAATTTAGCCTCATCCTCGTCCAGCTTCTTCTCGCTTTCCTTCAGACGCTTCTCCAGCTTGGCTTCGGCACTGTCGGCCTTCTTTTCGTCCAAGAGATCTGATTCTTCAGCATGCTTGCACACCTCGTGGGCCAAAGACGCCCAACCGGCCTGAGCCTGGGTCTCCAGCTGCACAATGGTGGCATCATCCTCCAGATTAGCCAGCACGGGCAGGCGCCTGGGAGTCATCTGCATCTGCAGGGTGACGTAGCTGATGAAGTCCTGGAAGTCGCGAGTGCACTTCAGCGGATTGTTGGTGATATCCAGGGAGCGCAGGTTCTTGAAGCTCTTTACATCCTCCGACGAGATCTTCTTGATCAAATTTCCAGAGGCGTTGAAGCTGCGCAGGCTGTCAAAGATCTTATAGCCCACACCCAACTTGCGATCGGAGAGCAGGGTGGTCAGCTCGCAGTCATTGACGTCCAGGGAACGGAGCTGGTGCAGCGGCAGGAAGAGGCGTACGGACAAGCGGCTGATGGGATTTCCAGCCAGACTCAGCTTCGTCAGCTCTCCGTTGTCCATGAAGATGAGATCGTCTATGCGGGCGATCAGATTGTTGCTCAGATCCAAGTCAATCAGCTTGTGCAGTCCAGTGAAAATCTCGCGTGGCAGATGATTAATGTTGTTCCAGGCCAACTTCAAGGTGGTCAAATGCGGCATCGTGGAGAAGGCCTTGTGACCCAGTGGACCGATGGCGCAGTTGGAAATATCCAGGTAGTAGACGGTGAACTCACCGCTGTAACTCAGGAAGCCATCGGTGGGCAACTGGCTCAGGCGAGGATTATCGTTCAAACGGATTACGTCCAGCTCTGAGTTCTTGAAGAACAGCATTCCCGAGATCTGGTCCAGATCGTTGATCGACAGATCGATGTGGCGCAGGTTCTTCAAAGTAAGGAACGAGTCCGGCTGGATCTTCTTAATGCCATTGCCCTTGAGGTTCAGATTGGTCAGACCAGGCATCTTGTCGAACATACTATGGTGCACTTGCACAATGGAGTTAAAGCTCAGGTCCAGCTGCTGCAGATCCGTGGTGCCGAAGTGCAGATCGCCATTGAAGGTATTGTACTTCAGGTGCAGTATGGACAGGGTGGTGCCATTGAATATTTCGCGAGGCAGTTCGGTCAGCGAGTTGTAAGACAGATCCAATTCCTCCAGAAGTGTAACCTTCTCAAAGGCCTTCTCGGGCAGTTTCTTGAGACTGTTCTGGCTCAGGTTGATGTAGACGACATTGGACAGCTGGGAGAAGGCCTTGGGATTCAACTCCATAAGGTTGTTGCGCGAGAAGTCCAGCTCCTCAATGCTGGAAGACTGCAGAGTTACAATTGATTAGAGCTAGCTTACAAGATACGGTTTTTAATAACACCCACCTTCAGCAGATAGTGAATGCTGGACATCACACTCAGGTCGTTACCCGAAATGGTGAGCATGCGCAGTTTCTTGTTCGCAACAAAGGTATCGGGATTGATGATGGCCAAGCCCACATCCGTCAAGTTAACAGCGTACAGCTCGTTCAGTCCGTGGAAGGCCTCGGCATGCAGGTACTCCAAGGTACAGTTGGCGATCTTGATGGAAGCCACATTCTTAAGGCCCAGATTCAGGAAGAAGTTGGGTCCCATCAGGATGGGGTACTTGGGACCCACATTGGCCACAACCAAGTCCGTGATGTCAGAGCCAAACTTCTGGATGCCCATATCAAGTCTGCTACAGGTGGCCACCAGATAGCTGTTGACATTCCGGTCACACTGGCAGAATCTTGGACAGGGCACGTCTTCGCTGAATACGACTTGCTCATTATCTGTCAAAAGGTCATCAGAGCCGTCGTCCTCTTCATCATCGTCATCCAGGTCCTCGTCGTAGTCATATTGGGAGTCGCTATCGATATCATTTGCACTTTGTTTGCTCTTTTGGTCGTTGGACTTGCTCTGTAAAGCAGGGAAACGTATTTATTTGAATTTGATCCAAGAAGGATGACTCAAGAAGTATACCTTGGGCTTCGAGGAGATGGCATCCACAATGGGCTGCAGCTTGGGGTTGCTCTTAGCCTTCTTGGGACTCGTGGAGGTCGTCTCGTTCTCGTCATCGAAATAGTTGTAATCATCTTCGTAGGAATAGTAGTCGCTGTCGTCGGTGTCGGTGGAGTTCTTCTCCCCGGCCTCAACGGTGGAATTGAGCATCTTGTTGAAGTGCGGGTCCTCAGCCAAAGCCTGGCTGTGCTTGGCCGCCTCCATCAGATCCTTCAAAGCCTCCTCGCTGAGGGACTTCTCGGTGCCGGCGGATGTGGTCTTCCTTGTGGGGCTCTTGGTGGTCGTCTCCACGGGTAAATTCTTTACCTTGGGGGTGGAGATCTTGGGCAGACTCTCGGCCGGGCTCACCTCCTCTCCGGAGCTCAGCTCGTTTTCCGTCAGATCATCGTGGATGAAGTGGATCCTAGGCCCCACGGTATTTGAGTGGCTGGCGTGGATAACCGCCAGGCTCAAGACCAGCAGCAGGACCCGCCTGCACGTCGACTGGCGACCCATTTTTCGGTAGATGGGCAAACTGAAATGGAGCAGGCAAGACAGTGTTGTACAGTTATGGCCACTTTTTAGAAACGGCAAAAACAGACGACTCACACCCAATGGGGCCGTATCTTATCGCTAATTGCTGGAGTCAGATAAGCAGGAATGCGTTTATTGAATCAACAATATTCTCGGTACTCCAGGGCTGGCCTCAGAATACGCACGTTGTACCAGATCAACGCTTCCTCCAAAATCTCCGATCTGCATGCCAAAATTATGAGCCATGTTGACCGCCCTGCTTATCACTTTTGCATCCGGAGACATCATCATTGACATCATTGGGCATGCTAATTTCATAGCTACACCATGGCCGAATCGACGAATTTCCAAATGTTTGCTTATCGTTTAATGGCAATTGGTTTTGCAGCCCAAATGATTCCTATGCGTATTTTCAACGCGTTACTCAGCATTGGGTAAGAGCAGAATTTGCACTACCTTATCGGCACAGTACTTCCCCTCTAGACTCATCTATTAGTAATGCAGAGACAGATAGTGGTTGGCTTACTCGACATAATAGGGAATCGCTGACTCCCCATCTCGAATGGAGTTGGGGCGTCGTCAGCTGGAACTTATTTATTTATTTGACTTTCGGTTTGCGTGCCCTTTAATAGCAGGCGACTGGTTTGGATACCCTAACTAAATTGATTCCAATCCGGGGAATCCCCACGGCGCGTTTCTTGACGCCAATTAATAACTCGTTTGCTCGCTCGCTGGTTCTGAGAAATCCTCAAAACCAGACTAAAAACTTGACGCTCTCCAAGTGGCTTATGCAATTTACGTCGTTTGGAATGCGTTTTCCAACCATTCGATGCGGTTTCCCTGGCGGATGGCCCTATTGAAAGGCCGCCTGTGTTTGCCTCGTTTTCATGGCAAAGCAAACACATAATTCGAGACCGCGGCTCGCCGAGTGGTAAACAAAGAGCTTTGGGTATTAATGCCTTTCGTAAC